GTGCTGGGGCGGGCACTGAGGCGGCGCCCGGTTCCCGCCCGCAGTGAGGTGGCTGCCAGCGCTGCGGCGACGGTGCGAGATGGCCGGCAAGAGGCTGTCGGGGACGGGCCTGGCCGCCGAAGGACGCGTCCTGCGGGCCGTGCTCTACGTTTACCACAGCAGGCTGCTCCGGCACCGGCCCTACATGGCCCTGCAGCAGGTGAGCGTCGGCCCCCGTCGACACGGGTCCCTGAAGGGCCTTTGGGGCCGCAGGTGATGCCTGAAGCATCGTGCAAGAAAAGAATGCGGAGCGGGTGGGGGGTTGTCGCCCTTAAGTCTCCTCACAGTTTCGTGCCGGGTGTGTCCTGGCTCCGTGCAGCCAGTGCAGCTTCCATGTCCCAGCCCTGTGGGACTGATACCTGGTTTCTTATGCTGAGACCTGAAGCAGGTACAATTACTTACATTTGAATATACGTGTAATACAGGGGTTTAATTTTCAATTTATTGTAAGAGGGGTGGAAGGATAATCCTAGGCTACTCTAGTAGGCGCTTTCTGTTCAAAGATAAAAAGTGAACTCCTCACTAGATTTCTTGTAAAGGGACTGTCAGTATCTCCAAATCAAGTTTTCAGGAAGTTTTGAAACAGAACAAGAGTTTTTCTTACCTTCTTGATTTGCTTATGCATTTGTGTTCTTGAAAGCCAATACAGCAGGGGAAACCGTGATTAGAAGCACTAATTAACACTGGCATGCTCCAGCCCTTCACTTAATTCCATATTCATAGTAGCATGACAAAGGGATCATTTTCATCACGGTGCAGATATAGAAACATACTAGAACATTCCATCATGCAAACCTGCAATTTTATGCTTTTAAACTGCTAAGGGGAAGGTATCACTTAATACGGTGACAGTTCTTAGCCCAAGGCACTCCCTTCTCTCAAAATACGAAAGGAGTTTCTTTTTCTAGGTAGAACAGTGCTTGAAGCGCCTGTGGAAAATGAACTTGGTGGGCTGCATAGAAGCTCTGGCAGAACTGACTCCCAGGTAAGTGTCATGATCCTGTGTGTTTTAACTCAGTCTGCAGAGCTGAAGGGGGGAATGCCAGATCATAACCATCTCCTCATCCTTGTATCGACACAGGAAAAACACATCCCAAACCCATGCAGAGTGTTTCGTTCCCAGCCAGCCTATGCTGGAAACAGTGGCTCTGAAGGTATTGGGAGGTTGCAAGCTCATACTACGTCTGCTGGACTGTTGCTGTAAAGCTTTTCTGTATCCTTTTTTCACTGTTCTTAGAGTTCACTAGCAGCACCTCACAAAACCAGCACTAGGTCTGCGGTAGGCCCTGTATTGCTCATGGACTCAAATGTGCAACTTGAAGTTTCTTTGATAGCCAAACATCTTATTTTCGAGTTATTATGTAGGAACCTCAGGCTGTTGGCTGGCTGCTATTCCAGCCTTGAGCAACCCAAAGTTTGGATACTCATCTCACAAATGATACAGGATATTGCCTTGTGAATTGCCTCTAGTTGGTACATTTAGCAAGTCTCATTATATGCTGTTTATTTTTTATCCTTAACCAGTGTAATCTTCAGCTTGTCCGTTAAGCATCTCTGCTCGGAAGAATTCATACTTTTAAACACCGTAGCTTCGGGGTTGTTGAGCAGGCTATGGTTTGTGTATCCAAAACTCTGTCTTGTTTGTTGTCTGTCTGCTTGACGTGCCTGTCAGGGAGAAGGGCTTGTAATTGGGCTTTGCTGCTGAGTGAGCTTTATTCATTTGGGAGGAGGGGGTGTCCCTGCATCCTTTTGGACTTGATTCTATCACCTGAAGAGTTGTATAAGTGGAGAGAGACTTCCTCCATGCTGTTACAGAAGGCTTTGTTCTTGGTTCACAGCAAACTTTATGTAGCATAATGAAACCAGGGTTAACGCCAGCCTGCCACAAACACTAACATCTGGTACTCTCTGCAGTGAGCAGTAAGTTCTGCTGCATGCTGAAATGGAAATGATGGGATAAAATTCTATAATACTGCTGAGTTTTCCAGGGAGATCAGTGTTCTGTTCTCTCTTGGTACGAGAAAGTAACTGCTGTCCATAGCTGAAGGAGGAACAGCATTGTGTAAAAGAACTCTGTAAAACATTCTTCGATACAAGAAATGTGTCTTCCTGGTAAATGTAGAGCAGGTGATTTTACAGCAGCAGTGCTAGCACCATTGTCCTGAGCTGTTACATGTTTTTTTGGGGGGAAGACCTCATGCCACATCGTTTAGATGTGACCTGAGAACCTGACGGGTCCAAGGTGTGGTGCTCAGCAAAGCTTGAGGGAAGCAGAAAGCAGAGGGGGTCCTGATCAGGGATTTACTAGTCGAGTCACTCCTACATTCTGATTTTGAACAGTTCCTCAAAGCTCAGACTAATATTAAGGAAAGCATGATGGAGTGCAAGAAGATAAGCTTGTGTTGAAGGGGAATAGGGAAAGGGCAGCTGGGAATCTCTTCCATCAGCTCATCTACTTGAGCTGAAGGTGGCTGTTCAGTGAGTGCGGGGTTTTGCTAGAGACTCCGTACCTTTGTGTCTTTTCCTGTCAGGATTCAGCACCGGTGTGTGTTGCAGAAGCTCATGTCCTTGTACAGCACGTTGTCCACAGCACTTCGTCTGGTGTCTGAGACCCAACAGATGCCTTACATCAAGGGGTTTACCTTCCCTGCTGATATCAGCAACTTTCTCGGAGTTAACATTTCTTCTGAGGTGAAGAAGCAAAAGGCTAGAATGCTTACAACAAAAAAATCTACCAGATGGCTGAAGCAGCTCATCCCGGCCATGTCAGAGGCTGGAAAAAAGAGAAACACTGCGACCTGCATGAGTGCTGTGAAAAACAGTAGTGGCCCGTGCCCCGTGGACATCGGAGAGCCAGTTCTGGTGGCCAGAGCCAGCAGAGGTAAAAGCCTTGTGACACAGTGCTACAGGTTTCTGACATCTTAGACACTGGCTGCAACTTCTGTCTAACAGAGCCGAGCACTTTGTACTACCCACAGGGTACGGTTCCAGTACACACTCCCCTCTCCTGTGCTTGGAAGAGGAGAATTCTGCATGTACCCTTGTCTTTATAAAACTGTGGATACTGTCAGCGAGGTGTTTTTTGTTTTGTTTTTTTTTAAATGTGATACAGCCCAGAGAGGAGCAGGTTTAATGAATGCAGTATAGAGGTCCTGTAAATAAGTTACCCATATTTTCCTGCTTCTGCACAGGTGGAGCCCAGGGATAGTGAGGGAAGCTAAGAGCACTGTCTGCAGTCCATACGGGAGTAGATACGGTTGTAAGGACAGGATGCAGATATCCTGTACTGGCTGCTTCTGGGCTGCCCCCAAGTCTTCCCCTGCAGTCAGGGCTCTGGTCAGTGACTGCAGGCATCTGGGTGTCTGCATGAAGCTTTTGCCCGTTAAGTTGCCCTTTGCAGCCATCTGCAAATCTCTGCATCCTCTTCATCCCTTGCCAGCTGCCAGGCGAGACGAGCGTAGTCCCCTTTGAGTTTACCTGGAAATGCTGAGTACAGGTGTGAACATAGTGATACAGCAAGAGATCTGACAGCTCTGCAGGGCAAAGCGTGTGGTGTCTCTGTGCAAAGACTTAAAACTGTCTTTACTTCATAATGGGAACTCTCTCTTTGTAGGAAAGCACCTGGGACTTGATGTGAAGACCTTGCTTAGACCATCCAGACCTTCAACACAAGAGGTTTGTATGGTAGCATTTTAATATTTTTTTTTTTTAACTTTAAAGACCATAACACTCAAAACATGGTATCCCTGATTGAAAATGTCCCCCTTTCCCTGTCTTATTTTTGCTTCTCTAACAACCCAAGTTAGTGTGGAAGCTTTGCACTGAAAATCACTACTAATTTCTGTTGAGGAATTTGAGCAATTTTTTGCTATGTCAAGTGAGATGACCAGAGAGTAGCAGACAGAACCAAGTCAGTAGAAAACAGGAATACAAATTCTAATTATGCACCTCTTTTTCTATTGCTGCTCTTCCACTTTCTCCTTATGAAACAAGGAACATTCTGACAAAAACCTCAGTTCTCTGCTCCTTTCCAGCAGAGAGGATCAGGAATGTCATGTTTATAAAAGACTACTTCTGTTATTCTTTATTTCAGGGTATAAGCCTTGCATCAACACCTCTTAAAGCAAAGTTGGCATCACTTTCCTCTCGTATAGCAAAATCAGAACATACTGGATCTCTCATACAGATGGTCCAAACAGCTGCATCGTTTGGGGAACTCTCAGAGGCACTCAGAAAAGCCATTCTGTGGTGCAAAGGCAACAAATTCAAATCAGAAGCTTATTTTCTGCGTAACAAGTTGTTGAAAAGCAACCGGCTGCACCACGTGGAGGCTCAAGGATGCAGGTAACTGCATGGGTGTGGAGTTTCTGGATCTGATACTTCAATATTATGTATTTTGTTACAGCATAGTGAAACACAGGGGTCTAACCCACTCTTTGTAAACTCAGTTGTGATCACTCAGGTTACTGGGTGCTCTGACGTAAGCATTCAGTTTAGCTTTAGTCATTTGTGAAGGGATTTAAAAGGCTAACAAATGCACAGATATTTAAGAGGGAGGATGAAAATGCAACTTAAATCATGTGCATGTTTAATGGTAACGATTATAGGATGCAAGGGGTGTTGTCTTTCTTCAGAGTGCCCTGGCTACTGTTGTACAAGGTGCTGTTCCATCTCCTTGGTATGACAGGAAAATGGTAGAGAAGGCTAATAACCAAATCTCTCCAAACCCCAAATGAAATCACACTTTAGCAGCTGATAAAGTTCTGTTTTGTGCGCTTCCTTCCCTTAAGCTTGAAGAAAAAACTGTGCTGTGTCAAAACATCTGTCCGTAAATACCTCCTGTATGGGTCACAAAACACTTACTGGCCAAAGCAGTCCCTGAGGGCACGGTTCTGTCCAAGGAGGATCAAATCATCCCTGCGTTTGAAGAGAGCTCTTCGGCAAAAACCTTCTGAGCTTTCTGGGGTCTGTGGGAACAGCACATCGCTCACCCTCCCAGCTCACCAGGGTGGGCCTCCAGGTGGGGAAGGACGTTCCAGTGCTGGTAGAGGCTGTGTCATACTAAGCACAGCAGAGACCCCAAAGCGGCTGCTGCTGGAAGGAAGCCCTGGCCCTGCATGGAAAGAAGCTACTGAGGAGATGGATATTGATTCTATTTTTGCAGCAATGGGTGTCTGACCCTGGACTTGCAAGGAGGAAAGGGGTCAAGTCATTCAATTTTTTTTTTTATTTATTTTTTTTTAAATAAAGCCCTCAGAACCTGAATGGTGTCTTGGTAACTCATACCCTGAATTCTGCTAATAAAGTACCAACCATTTTATTATACTTTTATAAAACAGCTTGCTTTTTGTTCACAGAAGGGTGTTCCAAACAGCTGAATAGTTTTCATTCTTTTACTTAGCCTTGTCCAGGAACAGTGACTTTAAGTTACCATTACTCAGTGTCTCTTCTCTACTGCTTGCCCACAAGTGCTACTGTGAAAAATAGTTACCATCCATGGTGTAAGGCTGCAGCTGATGGCTCACTGCTGCTGTGGCTGGATGCCAGGTGTCCACTAAAGCTGCTCTATCACTCCCCTCCTCAACTGGACAGGGGAGAGATAATAACAAAAAAGACTTGTGGGTCAGGGTAAGGACAGGGAGATCACTCAACTACTGTCATGGGCAAACAGACTCGACTTGGGAAAAGTAGTTTAATTGATTACCAATCAAATCAGAGTAGGGTAATGAGAAATACATCCAAATCTTACACACCCCCACCTTCCCCTTCTTCCTGGGCTTAACTTTACTCTCAGGTTCTCTACCTCCTTCCCTGCCAGCAGCACAGGGGAATGGGGGTTGTAGTCAGTTTATCACCTGTTGTCTCTGTCATTCCTTCCTCCTCAGGGGAGGACTCCTCACACTCTCCCCCTGCTCCGGTGTGGGGTCTCCCACAGGAGACAGTCCTCCATGAACTTCTTCCAGGAGTCCTTCCTACAGGCTTCAGCTCTTCACAAACTGCTCCCCATGGGGTCCCAAGTCCAGCCAGAAAACCTGCTCCAGTGTGGGCTCCTCTCTCCAAGGGTCCTACCAGGAGCCTGCTCTAGTGTGAGCTTTTCCCCAGGATCAGTGTCCTCAGGTGCATCTGCCTGCCTCGTCATGGGCTGCACCATGGGCTGCAGGGGAATCTCTGCTCAGGCACCTGGAGCACCTCCTGCCCTCCTCCTTCACTGACCTTGGTGTCTGCAGAGTTGTTCTCTCGCATAATCTCACTCCTCTCTGCTGTTGCACAACTTTTCCTGCTTTTTAAATACATTATCCCAGAGGTGCTACCACCATTGCTGATGGGCTCATCCTTGGCCAGCAGCAGGTCCATCTTGGAGCCAGCTGGTATTGGCTCCATCAGACATGGGGGAAGCTTCTAGCAGCTTCAGAGAGAAGCAGCTACCCCCTGTAGCCCCCTCTGCTATCAAAACCTGGCCATTACAAACCTAGTACCTCAGACAAAACACCTGCCACCACTTTTCCAAGGAAAGAGTCTTCTATCCTTCCTTCTGCTTGTACAGCAGACAGCCTCAATTTGCAGTATGATCTCTGCTCAGCATGTTATCCTTGTCCCAAAATGAGGTGTTAACATGCTGCCTCTGAGCTGCTCCAAAAAATGGGAAAACACAGCTGTGGCCTACAACAGTTAATTCCTGACTGGTGAACATGTTTCTTACTGTCCTGAAATCTTTCTAATGTAAGTGCAATTTCTGCCTGCTCAGCAATGTAAGGCACAGCTACTCCAACATGTATTAATGAAAGAACGTTAGAACAAGCAATGAGGTTAGTGCTTTCTGCCAAGCTCTTGCCTGTAACCAAGTCCCAAGATCAGATCACCAGAAAATAGTAAGAAAGAGTTGTCTCAGAATGAAGAACAGGAATCTGCTTTGTGGAAAATCACCTCCTCACAGGGGTGAGGAAAGGCTGTAAGTGCAAGTAAATCTGGAATAGGTTTACTTCAATTTCCTAGGCTTAATATTGGTAGAAAACAATAGAGGATAGAGGAAAAAATAACCTTCCTAGCCAATTAAGTGCTAAACCCCCTGTATTATGCACTTTGTGTGAACCAATGTAAGTTTAGTTATGAGGAGTGGGCACAAACTTCAAATGTTTTATTCAAAGAGCATATACAGAGCAAAGAGCACAACCACCATAGTAGTTTGGGCTTAAAGACTGTTCAGTTAACACATATCTATTCTCTAGGTTTCCTGTCACAGGAATACCCAACGATAACTGAAACAGGGGTAAAGAATCACCCATCATTAGCCCTCTAGGTATCTGGATTCAACACAGTCCTACTTCAGACAGACTTCCTGCCATTACAAGAATCTTCAGAGCTCTTATTTAATAAAAAGAATATAAAAATACCTAAGTATACCACATACAATCAGGTAACATTCGACCACTTGAGTACTTCTCAGAAAAAGCTGGAAGCGAGGTCAGACACCCCTGCAGCCCAAATAACCCCTCCAAACAACACACATGATGTTCTTTCCATTCGGGCAGCAGGTGCCCAAGTAATGCCCCAGTGCAGCTTGTGCACAGAATCAAGAACCGTAGTTTGCTTCATCAAAGGCCTTTCTGGCTCGTTTCAGTTCTTCATTCATGGTTAGGAGGTCTTTAACTCTGGCAAACTTCCGGGGGTCCTTGCGTATTAGAAAGACAATGTCCTCAACCTGTACACGACCCTGCCGCCCAATTGACATGGCCTTGTGTGTCTGTTAGAGGAAAAAAGGAAAGTCAGCAGTGTTCCTTTGCCTTTTTTTTAAAGCTCTCAATTCCACTTTATTTCCTGTCATTTTATAATCAAAGAGTAAACAACTGCAGGATCTGGGCACCATCACCCTAGTCGCAAGAGAACTTCCCAGTAAACCATGGACTTACTGTCGCTCTGCTGTCCCCAGCTGCCTGTCACTTACCCCCAGCACATACCACTACATACATGTAGCAGTAATGGCATCAAAACTAAAGCCAGGTTACATGCAGGACACCCGGCCTGCAGAGTGCTTGGAGATGAACAGCATCAGGCAGAACTTGGAAGCAACATGAGGTAACTATCACAGGACAGTTTAGTGCATTCTGATGTGTGAAGGCAAAGCCAACCTTTCAAAAGAGGATCCACAAACAGTAGGAGTAACTTTTCTCAAAAAACAACAACAAACTTTCAAACCATCCAAATATATGAAAGCGCGATGGCTTCAGGCTGTAGAAGCTTGCATTTGTTTTGTAGCACAGAGCTATATTCCCATCCATGTAAAGACACCAGGAGAACAAAAAAGTTGATACTGAGCCTTGTCTTTTGTCAGCTGCACATATAGTGATGCCACAGTGAACCCTGAAGTCAACTGTATGTTTCCACCCATACAGTGCTAATCTAACTGCTGTTTAAGGACTTCAGACACCGTTCGAAATCTACACAGAGCAATATGCATGAATTCTGTCTTAATCTTGGAGAAACAAAGTCAAAGTTTAGCTTTTTCCTACTAGCATCAGAGTTTTGGATCTCGGATAATGCAATGTTTGAGTCAGAGGTATTAACCTCCAGAAGACTAAAGCCTTCACGAGGATCTTTTGACCATGCAGCCTACAGCTGACTTACCATTTCTGTGATAAACTCTATTACCAGGTCCTCAAGAATGTCCACCGATTCTGTGTAAGGGTTCTGGTCATCCCCAAATCCATACATCATGCATCTTACTGCAGAAAGAACACTCGGTGTGAGGCTTCTTTCATCCACTCAGTGCTGTCAGCTGAAGGCATCTAGTTAGAGCTCACCTGCCTACACCTTTGTGCACCAGGATGGCTCTTCTGTCTGTTGGGCAGGACAATCCTCAAGCAAACATACACAAAATAAGCAGGTAGACAGAAGCCAACGAAAGCCTAGTGCTGCATATGCAGAAAAGCATGTCTGATGCCAGACTCTGTAAATATGCATTGAGCCTACCGAGTTCTGAACATCGGCTGGCAGCCTGACTGACTTCTGGCACAATCAGGTTCAGAGGAAGCTTTAGCAATAATCTGGGGAGTGGGGCTCTCCACTTTCAGCCACGGCACAGAATGAGAGCATCTGCTTTGCTAAGGAAAGCTGTGTTTTGGAACTCGACAGCCGCGGCCTCAGCGTTCCAGCTGTGACTGGGGGAAGGACATCGGCCTTAAAGGCCGCCGGAACCCAGCGGCGAGTGCCCGGCCAGCGCTGGGCAGGGCTTTCTACCCCGGCTCGACTCACGTTCTTTGGAGAACAGCCTCTTCCTCTTCCCCTGCCCGCCGTCCAGGCCCCCGCCGGCTTCCTCCGCGTCTTCTTCAAACTAAACGGGCACAGCGGAGGAAAGGCCGCCGTCAGCGCCCGGGAAGGCGGGGGAGGACCCCCTTCCCCTGCCGCCCCTCCGCGGCACTCGAGGGCTGCTAGGCCGCGGGTGGGGCGGGATAAGGCCCGCAAGGTCCCTCCCGACGTTGCCGACCCTCCACCGCCACTCACCGGCGCATCCTCCTCCTCGTCCGCCATGGCCGCGGGCCGCCGGTTCCGAAAGGGGCAGGAGCACTGCCGCTTCCTCGGCCCCGCCCCGCCGCCATTTTATGCAGCGGCGGGAGGGGCTGGGGCTGGGCTCTGCCGTGGCGCGCCGTTCCCGCGCTCCCAGGCGGGTCCCGGGTGCCAGCGGACCGAAGAGCTTCGCTCGGCAGCCAGAACGGAGTGTCTGTTCAGCAGGGAGTCTTAATTCGCAGCGCTGGTCAGCACTGGGGATCGCTCCACCACAAGTGCCGCGCTTCCTAAGAGAACTCTCTGAATAATACAGACGAAAAGCATACATGTGCATCAGATTTTGTAGAAGAGGCAGTCTTATGCTAATGGATTCTTAGTATTAATTTACATAGAATCACAGAATCAACTGGGTTGGAAAGGACCTTGAAGCTCCTTCAGTCCAACCACAAACCTCACCTTGACTGTTCCCAACTCCACCAGATCCCTCAGTGCTGGGTCAACCCGACTCTTCAACCCCTCCAAGGATGAGCACTCCACCCTGCTCTGGGCAGCCCATTCCAACGCCCAACAACCCCTTCTGCAAAGAAATACTTCCTGAGAGCCAGTCTGACCCTGCCCTGGCAGAGCTTGAGGCCATTCCCTCTTGGCCTGGTGCTGGTTCCTTGGCTCAAGAGACTCATCCCCCCTCTCTGCACCCTCCTTTCAGGGAGCTGTAGAGGGCCAGGAGGTCTCCCCTCAGCCTCCTCCAGACTAAACCTCCCCAGTTCCCTGAGCTGTTCCCCATCACACCTGTGCTCCAGACCCTGCACCAGCTCCGTTGCCCTTCTCTGGAGGGGCATTCAATGGCCTTGGTGTGAGGGGTCCAAAACTGAACACGCTCATTGAGAGGCGGCCTCACCAGTGCCAAGCACAGGGGTCAGATCCCTCCCCTGTCTCTGCTGGCCACGCTAGTGCTGATACAAGCCAGGATGCCATTGGCCCCCTGGGCACACTGCTGGCTCATTATCAATCCCACCCCAGGTCCCTCTCTGACTGGCAGCTCTCCAGCCACTCCTCCCCAAGCCTGTAGTGCTGCTGGGGGATGTTGTGGCCCAAGGGCAGCACCCAGCATTTGCCCTTAGTGAAACTCCCCCAGTTGGGCTCAGCCCATCACTCCAGCTTGTCAAGGTCTCTCTAGAGAGCCTCCCTACCCTCGAGCAGATCAACACTCCCACCCTACTCCCATAGTCTGAGCATGCATAGTAAAAATAGAGTGAGGGTCTTCTCCCCTCCTTAGGGGTCCCCACAGCCTTTCTCACAATGTCCATTAGTGAGCTTAAGGTTTCTTGTGTCCATCTCTAGTCAGAGGTTACTTCATCCATCCTTCAGCTCCTGTTTGTTCCAAGGAGGTTAGTTTAGATCAGCTTTCAGTCACTTCTCTTGACACCGGCGTCTTCTTAGGCCCTGTTTTCTTTAGGTTCCTGCCATGAGGGATGTACTCAGGGAGTTTTTCAGACTGTCCGGGGTCTGTCTTACCTTTACTAGGCAAGGAGTTAAAGGTTTTAAAACATCTTATAAGTGTGTAACTGGGTAATGATTAGAGAGGGTAGTTAGGAAAATGTATAAATTAAATTATATACATTACAGTAAAATACAGAAAAACTACAGGAAAAAATAAAAGCTAGTAAAACACAAGTGATGTCCAACGTTAAACCTAAATGTCTTATTTTACAGGTCCCTGTCTGTTGGAGAACGGCTTGCAGAGAGCAAGGCCATAGCTCCCTGCAGAAGTCAGTCCCAGCCACCTGAGGTAAACAAAGGAAAGAACCCAGGGTACAGTTATGTAAACAAGGATGAAGATCCAGGGCTCAGTTGTACAGCAAGAAAGATGTTTATGCATACCAGAGATGCCACGAGGGGCTGGGGTATTATAATGCCATCTTTTAAATGTACCCAATGGCTGAGACATTATAATGTAGTTTCTTAAATGTATCCAATAGAGTTGCAAGTAGTGTATTGTAGATTGCTTATATAAGGTGTGATTTCTATCAATAAAGTTGAAGCTTGCTCTATCATTCACATTGAATCGGCTGCTTGCTTCCTCCGCCCGCCGCACCTGTCCATTAGCAATTTCAAGTATACTAGTAGCAGTTTCCCTTCAGTTGCCAGGGTCTCTTGCTTCCCTTCATCAAGACTTGCATCTGCCCCTGTTGAACTTTATAACGCTGCTGTCAGCTTTTTCCTCCAGCTAAGTCCCTCTAAATGGCAGTCCAGCCCTTGAGCATGTCAACTGTTCTCCCCAGTTTGGTGCCACCCACACATTTGATAGGAACAAATTTCCTGTCCTCCTCCAGAGCATTCGTAAGGATGTTAAACTGGACACATACCAGGATAGACCCTTACAGTGTTCGCCTTGTAACTGCCACGCAGGTAGAGTATGACCCATTACTACACTCTGAGCCCAATTATCCAATTATTATTACTGATCAAGTTGTGCATCTCCCTGGACTGTAATGTCCTAAATGGAATACAAGAATAATGCAGGAGAGTGTGAAAAGACTTGTCAAATTTGGAGTATATGACATTCACTATTCTCCCAGAATACAAAAATCCAGTCATGTCATCACAGAAAGCAGGCAGGTTGGTCAGGCATCATTTACCCTTGGTAAATTCATGCTGACCCCAAATCTTTTCTTCTGTTTCACATGCCCAGAAATAGGCTCCAAGATCACTCACCCCATGATTTTTCCACGGACAGAGGTAAGGATGCTGAACCTGCAGTTCCCTGCATTGTTCTTTTGGCATCTTTGAAGATGGGGGCAGCTTTTGCTTTCTTCCAGTCACAGGGACCTCTACATTGCAAGGACATTGGCCAGCTCTCTTGGCACCCTCGATGTGACCTGTCAGGTCATGTGGACTTGCAGGGGTCCAGCTCTTTTGAGTAATCCCTAGTTTAATCCTCATCCACTGCTGCCATCTCTCCTCTTGAACCCTCTTACATAGTTTAAAGGCCTCTGAGACCTTTTTTTGTAAAGACAAGCAGAGGTATTGGGAGGTATGACCCACTCTGCTCAGCAACAGGCCTACATTTCTTGTGTTCAGCTTTTTACTACCTGCAGAAATTACTACCTGCAAAAATTCTGGTTGCCCCTGACATCCTTGACAAGTCTCAACTGCAGCTGAGTTCTGGCTTTCCTCACACCATCCCTACGCACCTGGGGAGTTTCTAAATTCTTCCTTTTAGCCTATCCCTCTTTCCACTTCCTATATGGTGCCTTTTTAGGTTAGAGCTCCATCATGGGTCCCCAGTTCAGCCAAACTGATCTCCTAGTTTGCCTGCTTGTCTTCCTGAGTATGAGGATGGCCCGTTCTTGTGACTGGAGGATGCTCTCATTACAGACCTGAGCTTTCCTGAGCTCCTTTACCCAAAAAAGCCACCTTCCATGGGATTCCATGTTATTGTTCCCTGGGTAAGCTGAAGTCCAGGATCTGCTACTCTCTTTCATTACTCCCCTCAGGATCTTCTTCAATTCCTCTATCTCATTTCCAAGTTGATTACCACGGTCCCAGTGAGCTCTTCTTTTGTTAGTGAGCAGCAGATGCAGCAGTGTGTCACCCATGGCTGGCGCATCCAATACCTGTATCACAAAGCTGTTCCTGACACCCCACAGAAATTTTGGCTGCTTGCATCTCATCATGTTGCCCTTCCAGCAGATGTCAGGGAGGTTCAAGTCACCCATGACAACCAGATTCTGTACAGAGGCTTCCTGGAGTTGCTTAAAGAAGGTAGAAGTGTTCATCCGCTTTCTTACCCTGGTTGGATGGTCTGTAACACACTCCCACCCCTCTGTCACCCTTACTGGCCTCTCCTCTTGTCCCCAAGCTTGTGAAGAAGGCACATTTATCCTTGCAACAGATAATTCTTAAACAGCTAATGTGAGAGAAACTTCCTCTTTGCCTTTGCTTGGCAGCTAGTTTGTGACTTGAAGCTGAGTTCCTGTGCACTTCTAATATGTTGAGTATAAATCTGTGTATTCTGCAGATATGAAAAACAGTGGATGTGCTGTATCAAAGCTCAAAAGTAATTTCAATTTCTGACTTTCCTTTTAGGAAGAATAGTGCTACGGTATCACACGGAAGTTAGTGGGCTTTTCTTTTTCCTGGTACTGAGAAGCTTAAAGATTGAAGGTTGCTTCGTGACAGGGTTTTCTTGAAAAAAGATTTCAAATGAACTCTGGAATTTCTCTTTCACATCATCCATGACTTGGGAAGGAATACCTAAACTTTTACTGATGGCCAGGTCTGGTCACGAGAAACTGGAGATGAAACATAACAATATAAGAGAAGATAATGGGTGCAGATACATCAGAGTTCCTTGCCCTGTCAGGAAAAGGCTTTGTGGAAGTAAACATCCTTGTAATCTGCACGAATTCTAAATATTTAGGACTCTACTAGCTCTTAGAATATTAAAAAAAAAAAAAAAAGAAAAAATGGGGTTTTTCTACCTTTCCTTATGACATTGGTTCATGCTCTTAAACATACTAAGGTTTTAAATATGGGCTAAGTTTAGGTAAGAAGGGAGGACAGCTTGTTTCATTGCTTGCATGTGGAACCAGTATGGCCTAGCTGAGACAAAAGACTGGGATTTATTCTTGTCTCTGCTTTTAGCATGATTTTGGGTAAGTTCTTCCTGCTTTACATGCATCCATATAAACAGGCATCCATGCTTGGTAGGTGGTATGAATTTGAGCACTGTGAATGAAGAGCGTTTGCTTTCTAACATGGTAGATGATTTTAGATCAATAAACTCAAGATTATGCTTTTAAAAATAGATAACATACAGGGAGGGGAATGGGCTTCAGTCTTTTTTTTTTTTGAAGTGACTGATGGCTCTGAGAGCTGAAGTACGCTAAGGCCAAAGAGCTGGTGAGTGAAATCGTTGGCACTTGTAGAGAGATGTAATTAAATATTCTTGGTGTTCTTGACAGTGAGGGTAGAAATCCAAAAATATGCTCTTCTTGAGCTCTGGAATTAAGGCAACAGGAATGGATGTGTAGCCTTTTCAGTTAAATTTTGCCTTTTTGCAGCTCTCTACGTCACAGATTGAAGCACAATTGCCTGACTATGACCAAACAACTTGGAAATTGAAAGTAATCTCCACAAGCATGAGAGTCTCCCATGGCTGCAACTTTGAAACTGCATTTTTTTTCAGGGGATAGTTCACTCTTTCATCAAAAGCGGGACGTGAGTGTTGTGGTAACTTCAGTGCAAGCTGCTTGCTTCCCTCTGTAACTGAGCGTTGAGCATAGGAGCCTGCAATGGCATCATTGTCCTGATTGTGGCAGTCCCTCACTGTCGGGGGGGACAGCTCAGAATGACTTCCCCTAAGCCAAAGAACAAGTACATCATGACTCATAAATCCTCTCTTCCTTTTTATATAAGAATACTTGATTTCTGTCAACACTTAAACAAACCATTCTATTTGGTTTTGGTGATATGTTTCTTGCTGTTAGCCCAAACTAGGTCAAAAATGTCACGAGGAGGGGCACACAAGGATCAGTTGCTTAAGGAATATGCTCAGCTAAATTATAAAAGAAGGGCCTGTGCACCATGCCATTTAATTTGTATTAGTGCTCAGTTCCCACCTGGAGCTTCAAGAACTGTATTTCTTAGTGATTTAACACCTAAGGCTTGGACAAGATTTATCCTCAACAGCCTGGACAGCTGGTAGTGTTCCTTAGCGTCTTAAAGAAACTTTAACACTGAAATATTTTATACTGAAAAAAAATTATTTTTACTGCATTATAAGTTGCTTACTGTACTCTTGATATTGTTGGTGAAGTTCTTAGAACTACTCCTTTAGAGTACTAGGGTTAGAACAAATGTCTTAGTTATGCCTTGGAAGTCACATTGGAGAGCCACTAAGGAATAAAATATTTTTCTATTAGAATGGTCTTTAAAGATTGTCCAAAACTATTCCTTTATCCCTATCCCAAATGTTGTAAATACTTTGGCCACCAGAACTGTGGCTGCTATGGGCCAAAGCTGTCAGCAGTACCTCTGACAGTGCAGAACTGTCGCTGTGTTTGGCTTATTTACAGACCTACCTGCCAACTCATCCCCAAGGTTTGCAAGGGAATGCTACTGTTCCTTATTTTTTTCATCATCAGTTTCTAGAATTTCTGAAATCTCTTGTAATTGGGGACCCAGTACAAGGCTTCCCAGACCTATTTTTTTTGAAGAATCTCTAAATATCAGCGCAATGTTTCCTACCACGTTTGAGCACAAAGGCAGCTATGGTTCTGAAGTCCTACTGAATCTACGTGTGCCTTGGTCTCAGTGCATTTGTTTTACCCTGTTAAATACTACTTCTGAATTATACAATAGCTTACATCCTTCATAAATTGTTGTGAGTGGTTAAGCTAGTTTTGCTGGTGCTTGACAAGTAAGAGTTTCTTGTGCCTTTGTCTGGTTTTGGTTTAAGAAAAAATTTTGTCTTGAAGTTTTGATTTATAAAAAAAAATCTGTTATGTCTCCAGTAGGAGGCTCACTCTTCCAGTGTACTAAATGCCTTGCTAAACTAAGATTGAACAAAGGTTTTTCTCTAGGAAGCTGAAAAGGAAGAAGGGAAAGGTGCAGATATTGGAGAAACAAAAACGTACTGGAGAGCAGAGTCAGAGTCTTGATGAAGCACTGAAGGATTTGAAGGAATGAATTCAAAAGAACTGAGCACAGCACCTTCTGGTGTCAACAGCCTTCCCTGGTGGAGCTCAGGGCTGGGGCCATCCCAAGACACCACATTCTGTGCTTGCCTTGGGAGCAACAGTCCAGCAGTGCTGTATTCATCACACAAGAACCAGTGGAGAGTAACTTCTTGGGGAACTGCATTAACAAGAGCAGTTCCAAAATTTATTCCCTGCCCTCCACCCCCCCTTACTACTTATTGGTGTAATATGTTCTCCATCATTCGCAATGTTTCTCACAGAAAACACTGGGTTAAGTAGCTATGTCTGTGCAACTGGTGGATTTACTGTCTCTTATAAACTTTGTAAGCGCGCCACAAGATGCACAAATGCCATTACGGGTTATTAGAATACAAACATGTGAACTACCTTCCCTGAAAAAATCTGCTGTATATTTAATAAACAGTTGATGGCTGCTCAATAATTAGCTTATTGAGCAGAACAGCTTCCTATGCTTAAATAAGAGATGCTTAGAAGTAGTTATATCTGAAGTAGCTGGAGATGAAATGTTTAAGCAGCGCTGGACAGGGTTAAATCGGTGTTAAAATAGATCTGTGCATACAGGCTTAATGCTGTGGTTAGTTCTTGGGAGCAGATCAAACTGCAGTTACCAAACCCAGTATTAAGATCACTTGTGCAGGTAAGGAAGGGGTGCTTATTTTACTTTTAGATGTTTCTAAACCAACTGGCTGTAAATGCATCAGATGAGACTAAATACAGGACTGGTTGTAGCATATTGCAGAGAGATTGGCTTCTCATATAGAGAGCTGTAGAGGAGAGTCACGCCTTAATAAATAAATAAGTTTCCCTCATCTGAGTGGGACGTGACACTGATGTGTTTGGAAGATCCCGATTTTAAGATAGTAAGAAAAAAATTATTCCTGAAGTGTTCACTTGCACCTGTTCCAGCCATCTAGATATTACTGCACTTTCCCCTAGGATCAAGCATCCCGCAGGCTGGTTTGCTCTGGAGCATTTTGGGATTAGAGGTAAAATCTTAAGAGAATTACAGGTTTGATCCCTGCTAAGATGTGGGAACTAGAGATCCACATCTTTCTACTGCATTCCTCATGCCCCCCACTTCTTAGGGGTGTGCTGAAAACAGAGCTCACCTCATATTTAGTTCCAAGAAACCTCATTATGAAAAAGAAAACACACAAGTATCACCTCACCCTCAGAGTGGTTTACAAAAGAATCACCACCCTTTCTTGAGGTTTAAACACTTAATGTAAGTAACTCTGACAGCTGCATCTGGCAATATTCAGATGTTGCAAGACAGTGCCAGATTGACACAGGCTTTGGTCCAAGTTCTTCGGTACAACAGTTGCTGCTGGCACTCCTTTTGTCCCATTCTGGGACAAACTGGACAGCTTCAGGCACTCTCAGCCAGACACACCTGCTGTGGGACACGGTTCTGCAAGCTGCTACAGTGCCCCTGAAGAGTATGGGACGTCAGTATTGTGCTTCAGCTGCCAGGGTAGAACAGATGCAGATAATGGACAGCATGTCTCATCTCTGGCAATGCATCCGAGTGCAGCTGAAAAATTTTACACTGGATTTTAAACAAAAGGTAGATGCAGCACTGACTGATGATAAAGTGCAGAAGGAGAGAGTTCCTCTCGATGTCAGTCTTTTATTCCACTCTGTTTCAAGCCAACAGTGATCAAAAAGCAGACCCCATGAAAGATGTGTCCTTTCCTTCATCCACCAGGAACAGGGACAACTCGATGCATGCAAGCCAGGCTGCTGTCACGCTGCACCTACTGAACACACAATGCAGAAGAGTTACAAAAGTAAAATACAAAAAACATCCTAAACACACCTTCAGAGACAACACGTTGGCTATTTCCACTCTAGATCGCCTTAAAGCAGGCAGATTGCACAGGTGCTAGTTTTTGGCCCTGCTACATCAGCTGAGAGAAGTAAATGCTTAATGTTAGGGCTATAGTTCTTCTTTTCTAAGCTGCCTTTTTATTAATGAGATTACTAGAGCATCTCTAGTATCCTAAATACAGCAGAGCTTAGGAGTGGAGGGAGAGGAAATACTGTATTAAAACTCAGCTTCTATTTGGAGGCTCTCTTTGCTTTTTTCTCTTTACACATTCGTGCAGGTTTTATAGAACAGTTTTATAATAACCTGGATTCATTCATAGCGCAAACTTCCTGAATTGATGAATTTATTAAACAAAAAAGCTTAACCTTACAAATATTAATTTATCCAAAAATTTATGCAAGTTTATCCAAAAATAAATTCTAGAACTTCAGGTTATTTACAACAAAAATCCAGAGCTCTAGTTCTGGTACCTTTTATTCTGGCTGAGCTGAGCAGATCAGGAGCCAGCCTCTTCAGCGGGCAGGTTTCCAGTAACATGGACTATAAAACACCTCAGCAAGTGAACCCCCGAAAACTCCAGAGAACTGTGAAAACAAAGGGGTGGATTGTTCAGTGCCAGATGCTGCTGTGTCTTGGGAGTAATACAAGCAAACCCAGCCACTGGCTGTATTAAATTACATCTCCTGAAGTGCAGTACAACCTTGGTAATCAAATAATTACAACTTGCTACTGTTAACACAACCTTAAATAGAGTGGCAAAGCCCAGAACAGGGACTGCTGCTGCCCCCCTCGGAGAAAAGCCAAAGGAAGAAGCAGCCTTGAAAACTGAACTCCTCTGGCTTGCAGAGGAGGGGGCAGAAGGGGCGTTTCCTCATCAGCAGCCCACCCTCCATCTGTAGTGCCAGCTCTAGAGCAGACAGACCCACTTCAGGCAGTTTGCCCTACTGAAATCATCACCTGAAAGGGAACACCAGCAACAGAGAAGAGCTTTACCTGACAAGGAATAGCTGAGGAAAGCATCCCTGAGTCTTCCCCTTTACAAACTCCTGGATCTCCAGCACGTTCTTTAACAGCAGCCCCCTGGAAGCTCGGTCAATTTTTGTTAACACCATCTGCAAGGATCCAGAAAGTGAAAATTAAGAGAGGGGGAAAAAAAAAGATTTTGCTGCTAGCCTGGAACATCTATAAGAGTCCTGGACCATCTTACAAGGCAGGCTGAAAGCTCTGGGTCATATCCAGGGGTAAAAATGGTATAACACAGTTCACCACAGTCTGCATAAGGAGTGGACCCTTTCAAGCTCCTCAAGCTGAGCACTGACAAAGAAGTGTTAATTTAATAAATCAAGCAAAAAATCCCTTAAACCCCACTTGCCCCCCAACTCCCCTATTTTAGGCCTGTTTTATTAGCAATAAAAGGAGGTGTTTCCACTTAGGTGGGACAACTTGCATAAGCTCAGGTAGAGGGTAAACACCTTTACAGATTATCTGTGGTTTATAACCAACAGAAGAATGAAGTATTACCTACCACGTAAGGAATCCCAAACTCTTCCAGCATCTCTACTGCAGTATGATCTGTTTTCTGGAGTCCTACTACACCATCAACTAACAGAAAAGTCCTCTTCAAGCTGCCAGAAACACAAGCAACAGTAATCACCACCATTATTTCATGCCTTCTCTGCTACTTCCAAATTCATAAGCAAGAGGAAATAACACGGGTTCTGGAGACAGGAAAAGCCAAGAAAAGACATGCATGGCAGCTGAGAGCCAGCACGGAACAGCACCTCAATCTTTCCTGCTGTTTTGATCAGTCTAAGCATGAATGAGTGGCACCACAGAAGGAAAGACTTCAGAACTAATCAATACCACCAGTGGAAGTAGCTACCTCTCCCACATTTCTCCACCTAACTACACGACACTGTGTGTAGGTGTCCAGCTCTCACTGCTCTGTGGAGGTAGAGCTGAGTCTCTTACTTGTGCCGTTCCTGCAGATAGTCCTCCACCATCTCCACAAAGTCCTGTGGGGCACGGTAGCCGTATCCCGGCATATCCACCAGAGTAAAGTACTTCCCGACTTTGAAGAAATTAATCTTCTTGGTGTGGCCCTGGGGAGAGCATTTATTTTTAAAAAAAGGACTAAAATGAAGGAAGTGTGGGATAAAGAGTTGCTTTAAGCAGTGGACTAGGAGATGCCCCACAAAACATCTCTACCATTACCCTGCCCTGCCTGAGAAGGCTGTAAATATTCTACTGTTGCTTTGAGCTGCCCTACCCTTATAACAGTCCTATATGCCTCTACCCTTAAAATAGGCTAAAAATACCTCCACGGGTCTCTGGGCTTGGTTCTTCCTAAAGCCTTTACATCACATCTGCTCAGCTTGTACGACTCCTCCACATGGCATGTGTGCCAGTCCTGGCTGAAGAGCTAAGCTGGGCTTTTTACTTTTCCTTCACAAGAGCAAGGCCTGTGCCAGCCCTGGGCTGGTGGCCACCATGGCTGGCAGCTTCTCCTGTTGCTTCAGCTTACTCAAGAGCTCGTTTGCTCCTGCCCTTCTCAGCCCTATCCCCTGGGAGGGCACCAGCTTCTGACCAAGAGGCAGGGAAGGTAAAAAGGTCACTTACTGGAGTTTTTGACACTCTGACCTCCACTTCTGGAGACAGCGAGAACAAGGCCCGGATTAAGGAGGATTTCCCCACATTGCTTCGGCCGATGAAGCACACCTGCAGTGGGAGAGTGATGCATGGAAAACAGACTCTACAACTCGAAATAGAGTTACACAGCAGGGATGTTTTACTCCAGCCAGGTTGCAATGGGATTTCTCCACAAAGCTTGCACACCCACAGCACATTTTACCAAAAACTTATCAAGTGTGGATATACATTTCATTGGACTACAGAATACAAATATCCACATGCATGAGTGAGGCTGGGTTAGTTCTAGAGGCTGGTGTCAGCAGCTGATGTTCTCTTTGCACCTGTACATTGCCTCCTGGTGGGCATCTTCAGGGGGACTTTGGGAAGAAGGCTCACAGTCCTCCTCACCTTGTACTTTTCCTCAGAGCATGCACAAATTCTCCTGGCCAATTTCTTAGATAACAAGAGTGTTTTTCAGCTGGTTTACTCATTCTATCTTACCTAAAAGTAGAACTTCTACCATCCATATATGGCTCTATGTTACTGATTTTATTATCAACTGAAATTACATTGCGTTTGATTTTAATGTAAGTATAGAATTAAGAGTTATTTTAGTAAAAATCATTTATTTACATTTATTATACTTTGAATCTAGCAACCGACTGCGACTCTAAAATCCCCTGTACAGCCCCGTACCAAGGCCGAATTGTCTAGTAGGAGCAGTTAGAACCTAGGTAACAAAACACAAGATGATTTGTAAACTGATTTATAATACATATATAGGACTAGAAGAATGCAAGTAGTTGTCAAGGTCCAGGATGAATGGGAACTGAGGGAAGTAACCGTAACAGCTTGCAAGTACCTGCCAAGAAAACTGTCCTTAAGCAAAAGGTAATTCCGGCAGGGGGAGATCGCGACCACCGACTCATGGACCACCTACTCACATTACACCACAGACCCATTTCTAGACATTTCTAACCTCTACTGTGCAGAATCAGAAATCGGAGAAGAATATGTTAATGATTTCTTAGGAATTGTATGTTACCGAATGTAACATACACGTGTAACATACAAGTGTTAATGAATACTTAATAAATATGTAATGAGTAAGTTCTATATAAGGTGTACAGTTCTGGTGCCTGGTACATGTTGTTGGTGACAACACTCCCTTACATGTCCGGCCGTCAATAAAGAAGTGTCTGCTTATCTGCATCAAACTGGTGTCGATAAATTCTTATTCCGGATTTTCGGTAACATCTATTCATTACCAAGACCAAATTAGTTAGAGCACACCTGTTCCCCAAGGACAAAACCATAATATTTTGCTGAACACTGCAGTTCTTGGTAGATTTTCACAGTGAACTGCTTTGTTTGATGGACACAGTAGCCCTTGGTAAAATTCCACAGAACAGTCTGGGCAAGCAGGATTCTCAGCAATATTCAAAAATACTTTAAGTAATACTGTAACTTGCTATAAGTAAGTAAGTTGCTAAGCAGTTTGCTGTAAGTAACTAAGTCTCAAAACAAGTAATCATTTCTCTGTATCAAGAGGCAGGAGAGCATTTCTACACCCATCTCCCCCCATATCCAACGTGCTTGGGCAAGGGGTATCTTCCCCCCCACCCCAGTCCCGGCCCTTTGTCAGCCTTTCCCTGGGGACGGCGCTGCCCTGCGCTGCTGCCCTGCTCGCAGCAGACTGCCGAAATGTGCAACGCGGGGAGGAACACCAAAGAAATGATTTTAAAAAGCGGCGGTACACGCATCGCGCTCAGACGCTTCCCCCCATCCCCCGCCCCCCAGCAGCTCAGGCCGGGCCGGCCGCGGCCTCCGCCGCAAGGGGGGTCCCGACCTCGGGCAGGGCCAGCGGCGGGGCATGGTCCA